AAACCCCATCAGTGGATGAACCTTGTCTTATTTATTGCTATGTGACTGACACCGAGAACACTGTTTCACATTTTGCGGGTGTTTAGCCCTATTTGACAAGTGAAAAAGAAAAAATTGAAGCCAGGGATGTAGTATAGAGGCACAGTGCCTGCCTGGCAAGGGTAAGGTCCTGAGTTTGATTCCCAGTACGAATGAAAAAAAAAAAAGAATTGATAAGTGAACACAGGAACACAGGTGTGGAAGAATGAGTTACTGGAAAGACCTGGAGGCTGGTTAAGGCAGAGCAAATTCCATTTATTTATGGATGGCAACTAAGTGAGATGTTTATAATCATGAAATAACTGAGAAGTAGCAGGAAATGTATTACATGATATAAATAATGGGTTGGGAAATTTAAGCTACTGTGAGCAGTAGAGATGGCATTCTAGAAATGATGACACACTAAAATATTTTTGGATCTGATTAGTAGCGAAATAATTTACTTCTTGGTAATGCGTATTTTGCCTTTCTGATATGTTTAATCCATCTGGGTTGTCTACCGTATGTTTTAACTCAATTTTTAAAATTTAAAATTCATTGAAAAAAATGGCTGTTATAGATTCAGGAAAACCTTAGTAGATACTGTCATCTCAGAAACAATTTATGACTATCAGAACGCCATCTATGTGCGAGGCATTAAGTGTTTTACAGATCTGTTTCATTTAATCCTCCTGACAAACCTTGTGGTGTAAATTTTCACACTATCCCAATTTACAAGGAACGGAAGGCACAGAGGGGTTAAGCAGGCTGACTTCAGAGCTCATGCCATGTTGTGTGATTCAACTTGTTTTTATTGTTCTTGTCATAAACATTATCCGCTTATTATTCTTGTTGATCTCTATATCTCATTGAAATACCCTGATGGCACCCTCTGATTTCTCTGGAAGGTTTTAATGTTACCTTTTTGATTCAATGTATTGAAACCACTAGGGTTTTTTTTTTTTTCTCTCCACTATTATCCCAATCGCAATGTGTTGTTATCTTTTTTCTTTATTTCATAGTTTGTGATCTGTCTTTTCTCACTAAAATGTCACCATTTGGAGGGGAGGGGTCTTTCTATTCTGCTCACTTCTATATTCTTTCTTTTTTTT